TATCAATACGCGCGTCCGCGAACATACCTGATGCGCTGCAAAATCGTTGCAGCCCCAATGGCATCCTAAGACCATTATTATATTGGACACGCAGGGCATTGACCGTCGCTTTAGTGTAATTTGTCCGCAGGCTGCACGTATAGAAGGTCTGACAAAACGCCCTGAAAAGGGTGGCTTTGACATTACCCTCACAACGCGCAAACCTGCGTGACAACATATTACAACGTACGGCCAACGCTCTGCGCTCCCTCTCCATATCTACATCATCCTGCAGATTTTCTATGATCCAGTGCCCTAGGTATTTAAACCTTGCTACTCTCTTGAGAGTAGCAATTTTCATCATACAGGGTCAAGACTACATAAAGCAAAAGACTAAAGATTCAAATTCAACTCTGTGTTGTGTACGATAACAACAACCTAAAGTTCAAAATATCAACCTTAATATTCACTTGACTGTACGCTTCGTTTACCGTAATAATCAGTTAAGTTAAATGCATGCATTATTGCCCTTTACAGACAACTAATGTGTTATTACCTGAGTAGTTTAGATTTAACCATGTCAAAACATAAAAGAAAGTTAGAACGCTGTAGTCAAAAATTTATTATATTCATTATCTAAGCTTTGTTGAAAATTACGATAATAGACTTATTATTTATTTATTTGGGCGTAACAGAAAACAGAACAACCCTTATTGCGTAGAGAGTAGTGTGGGGCATAACATGCGTCGATAAATGAAAGGGCACTCATTTGAAATGAGGCGACCAAGGTCGCAGTAGAGCTTCTTGTGAAAGAGTCCGTCCAGGGAAGTACTGACACCTTACCTATTTCTGTCGCCAATCAGTAATGTCAACTTTACTGTGTTCCGGGTGTGTTTTGAAGGGTAAGGGTGCTGGTGAAATTACAGGCACATGAGACTTGTCGACTTATGGTCGTGATAACAATGCCCGCTAGGTGCCGGTTATGGGGCAGTCGATTTAGATATCAATAAACTGTGTACTTGTAATTTTAATTAGAATTTTGACTTTTATTTAATATTATTTCAATTTTGTTTCATTTTAACTGCCTCCGTGGACGAACGTTTACCATGTCGGACTGCCACGCAGAGGTTCCAGGTTCGATTCCCGGGTTGGTGGTAATATTTGTATGGCCTAGATTTATTTCTCTCGTGAGTTCGGGTGTAATTTGTGGTAGTCTATATTGTGTATGTCCATGGCACCCGTGACACAGGGTTGTTCCCTAGTGCGGGGCTATGTTGAGTGTGTGCGTTATTATTATTATTTTATTTTATTTTATTTTTGTAACTTTTTATTGACTTTTAAATTCTGATTATATTATTTTGATCTTAACTGTACAACGTAATTTATTTTGATGTGGGTCATTGTCGCCCGAAATATTTAAAAGATTTTAATTTTTTATTTTATTTGTTTCGGGGTGACGGGCCCAGCGGCAGTGCAACTTCGATCTTTGCGTTTTAAAGCTCTGACTGGCACTGCAACCGTTATGGACAAGCGTGTCGCTTACCACCAGGCCCACAACTTGTTCGTCCCTGCACTTGGCATTATAAAAAAAGGTACTGCCACACCTTGGGTTCCTAAAATCTTTATAATATATATTATTTGATTTTAAATTCGGAACTTAATCGCGTATAAAAATACATTTTTTTACCTCGACGTTTCGGACGCATTTCAACGTCCATGATCGGAGTCCCTACGAGACCAAGGACGCTCTGAGCGGCTCTGCAACTATGATTGGTTACTCGATATCATAAAAAAAAGTCTGCAAGCTACCCAATTCTTCAACGACTTAAAACATAATCTCAGTACAGAGTACAAAAAAAACCGACCTCAAAAGTACGTGGAATTACATCTATTTGCTAAGTTTCATTGAAATATCCCCTAGTTCGCCACTATACAGGACTTGATATAGGAGATAATAAAAATCGATTCTCACTACTCAAAGTATATTAAGAGAGAAAAACGCCTTGAATTGGAGAATAGCAAAACCAACCATTAAAATAATTGCTCCTTAAGTAAAATTTAGGCGCTATTTGTAAAAATAAATGTTCATGCGTGATTAGCCACCCTTAGAAGTGGATGATTTTCTTCAAAATGAAATGGGACCACTAGGTACCCTCTTTCCAACAAAAAAAGAATCATGAAAATCGGTTCAGAAATACTGGAGTTACTCCGGAGTACTCCGGGTAAAAAAAATCATACAGTCGAATTGAGAACCTCCTCCTTTATTTGAAGTCGGTTAAAAACTATTGTCTATGGGCTCGTTGAATTGATATCGACAAGTAGGTAGTTGGCTTACAAGATGAGTAATCGGTTTTTAAATTTAAATTTAATTAGTTGTGTACACATCGAGTATATAACTAGAAATAGAGACGAAATGTCATTTAATTTCACGGACATAAATGTCTAGATAGACGCCGCAAGTGTACGTACTTCGCGTGCCCAAAGTAAGTGACATTCACATAGTTGCCGCATTTACATTTTAGAACGCGCTCGACCGTTATTGTAGATAAACACCAGTTGAAAATGTGAAAAATGCATAATTGTGCCATTATAAACTGAAAAAGCACCACTACTGTGGGTAAACGAGTAAACAGGGACGCTTCCTTCCACGGGCAAGTGATTTTGTAATCAGAAGATGCATAATTTATTTTAAAAACAATTTTTTTGGTATTGTATGAATTTCGAGAAAACAAATATGTAACCGAGTGTATGCCTCATGATTTGTAATACAATGCGGCTTTTACTTGGTGCGATATATTTGTGATCCTTTGTTAATGCGCCATGAATGTCGAATGAACGCACTTTTGTGTAATGCATCTAGTTTCGTGGTACGGCCGCTTGTACATTTCTTTGGCTAAATTTAACATTTAGTATACGTTAGGCAACACTGTTCTCGTTTCTGATCGATTTTGAAAACAAAGGGACGAAAATTATTATGACCTTAGCTATATTATAAAAATATTCTAACTCTTTTGTTATAACGTTTACTACCGTTTCTTCGTTTCTTTTTCAGTTTTGTAGTATCATATATCAGTAGTATCTGCAATTTCGATAATTTTTGCAGCACGTCGCCTCGAATGTCCGAATATAGTGAGCAAATAAGATAAATGTCCCAGTGGTTGACACTGTCCCAATGTATGACTTTTGCATTTTTTCTCAAAAAATAAGAAAACAAATATTGACACTCCAAAACCGTGTTAAATGTACTAGTAAAGACATTTATGAATTTAATTTAAAAGCTTTTATGGATTCATTCAATAATTTTTGAATATGAAAGTTATTTTTGAAAGTCTTATCTTTAGTGGTGATCGGAGTGTAACGTGCGTCGATCTTGTTAAAAAAATCGTTAAGACTTTGAGTAGTTTAAGTGAATTTATCAGGCGGAATATTATTAAATACCGGTAAGTGTTTATTAAAACTATTAGATAACTGTAAAAACAATTAATTTTGTGTGTATTTATTGACGTATATATATAGTTTATTTTTTATTTTAGAGGCATATGAAACACTGGTGCAAAATTTTAATGTTTACTAGTAGTTGACACCCATGTCAGGCACTCGTATATATGAATATTTTTTAAAACTGAATTTCGACCATTTGGTAAGGACGGAGAACATAAGTTTGGATTACTCTGTTAGTGACCAGTTTCTATGGGTAGTTTGAGTAGTGTTTGACATGGGTGTCAAAGATTGTTTTACTATGGGGACCCAATAATTGACAGTGGTATATTGAGGTGTCAAACACTAGGGCTACTACTACTAACTAGTGTCAACTATTGGTTGCGGGTTGTTCAGTGAAAAAATGCTGTCGCCTATAATAATAAGGCTGTCGCCTTATTCTGATGATGACATACTGACGACTATAGTCGAAGTATCAAGATGAATTCTTATCACACCAGCTGCGAAAAAATATGGGATACCGCGGATTATTTTATTGTATAAAATATCATTAAATTTATATCAACATTTTAGTAAATAATTTTTATTTGAAATTTTGCACAGAGACTCTCTATTATAAGAAGATAAAGAATATTTTATTTAGTAAGTACAATTAATAGTATGTAATGTTATATACCAGTAAAGTAGGTATAATTAAGTAAGAATGCGCATGTCGCCAACAAACTGCACAGCAGTTTGGTGACTGTTACTAAATAAGTTGCCGGTTGTAATTTTGAAAATAAATTTTAAAAAAAGTTTAAAAGTGTGTGTTGACTTTTATAATAATATACCACTCGAGATTAAATTATTAGACTTGTGTTTGTTTAGGCATCCTTTGGTTACAGTAAACTGAAGAAACAAAAAAAAGCAGTTTCAACATACAAGCCATACATTTGCATGTCGATAATGACTAATCGATAGATTATGGTACAACACTAAAGAAATCCGCCATTTGTAAGTTTCAAATTTTGGTTATATGCGCGTTGATTCTGTAGTTAGGGCAGCTCCTTTCTTTTATTTTTTTCCATCCTCTAAGTTCGAAATATGTGTCCGGGAGTGTATAATAGTGTTAGTAACAGTAAAATTGACATGTACATCTACACATTGATACAATATGGGCTCATCGTTCCTCTCGGTCACTGTGCGCAGAAGGCCATTAGGGATTCTACCCGCTTCGGCAAATCATGCTAAAGACATCCACACTCGCCTCGGTAAACGTTCCGTAGCGTGGCAACCCCAGCAGCATTCTGAGAGCATCGTTAGGCTGCTAACAGATCATAACAAATTGACTGCACGATTGCAGTTAATGTGTGTATAGTCTGTTCCAATTCAGTGTACCAGAAAACAAAACAAACATATCATTAACTCGACCATAGAGAGTTTAGTGATGGCCAATTGTACAGCTAACATCAAATCGATTAATTAATTGATTGAATTGATTTGTTTAATTGAATCACTTGGAATTACTGGGTTTTACATAATAAAATTGGTTTTGCTATTTCGCTGCTGATTACTATAAAAAATATGTGATCCAATATAATAGTGATGATATTTCATAGATAACATTAGAATTTTTTCTTACATAACCTATAAAAGCAAATTTAAAAT